TACCTACTACCTACTACCTACTACCTACTACCTACTACCACTACTACTACTACCACTACTACTACTACTACTACTACTATTACTACTACTACTACTACTACTACTACTACTACGTACTACCATGACTGCTACTTGGTGGCTTCCGACTATTACTACTTGACTGCTGCGGATGCTACCCATGCTTTTTCCTTTTCTATTACTTAATTATGTTTTCTACTACGGCCGACTACTACTTGCTACCATTCCTGAGTTCAGAATATTTCTCCATGCATTATCTGGTTCCGTAGGTGATCAACGGGGACAAGATCATTGCCGTCGCTTTTCCTCCAGAGGAGGAGGCAGGGTGCGTTTTGGGGTAGGCTTGCATAGCACATTCGTTGACCTTGCGATTTCAGTTGCGGAGGTGCTCCCAGCAAAACAGAAGGGTTTGCCATGTCATTCAGCTCTTGAAGACGGCGCTGTGTTGCTCAAGCCGTTTGCGATTGGTGTGGGTGAAATCAGCCTTTGCTGTTTTTGGGTTTTTACAGAATATCGCAAGGGTTCGAGAAAATACGACATTGATGAAGTGTCGAACTATGGGATCTAGGTTAGGGCTAGGGCAGACTTTATAAGATTGCTTGCAAAAATCAGTTGTTACCCTTAGTACCACCCACCTAAAGCTGCATTATTGCCTTGCAGTGGTATTGTGCTTATGCTGCCTGGGTGCTGCCTGGGTAATGATGATGAGCATTACGGATGCAACGCTCAAATTGGTGGTAGCAGCATTCTGGGCTGCAAGTGTCAATCTTTTGGACGGACCCTGATTCAGTCGCCGACCCACTCCGTTGAACTCGTTAACGGATATTGGCGGGATCGAAACCGTTCCCCTCACCCAATCAACTAAACTATGTGCTTGTTTTCTGCATCCTGAATAACTCATTACCATAGAAAATGTACAGAAAAGGAGCCGAGACGGCCCAGAGTGTAATTAAGCTTAGCTGTAGACTGTAGAACGACCCCCTGCATGGGCTCAGGAAGAGGCGAGCACTCCTTGGGCCTCTTGGATGCATTCATTAGTCTCGAAGGATCTACTACACACCACATCTCATCACAAACTGCACATGAGGTGATACATAGGTAGCCCGACTATGGTTCGGGCGTCAGAGCCGTGATAGCCATCTCCGCGAGCCAAGATTCGTCACCTTCGGCTCTGCAGGTCTCCCGTCGGCACGACATGATGACCATGGGCAGGGAACTCGGAAGCTATCGGATCCAGCTGGTTTTCCCACAAAGAGAGAGAGAGAGAGAGAGAGAGAGAGAGAGAGAGAGCGAGCATGGTCCGGGGAACAACCCAGGCAACAGTTTCACGTCCTTCCAAAGCCCTAGAAACGGGGGGGGCCCCTGGTGGCCGCGGGGCTTGACACGCCACTCATGCCCTGATGAATTAAATTAGTACTACTAGGATTTTGATTTTGTTCCTCCCTGGAACATGTTATGCGTGTCCTTCGTTCTCATCTCACCCCCGTACACTTACAAGACCTACGGCCCCGAACGCTAAATGTACCCGAAACCCCTGAACCACTAAAGAACCCCTACACTCCTGAACCCAAGTTCGTTACAGTCCCATGGATCCCTATACATGGAACCAAACCCCTAACAGTCCAAAAGAAATCTAAACCATACATCTTCAGAACACCGGAAATCTATCCCTTAAGAACTCTACAGCTCTAAGTCCATCAGCATCGAAAACCTCTACATCGTTAAGAACTCTAAAGTTTTAAATCCCGAACACCCTATGTAACTCCTAAATGCCTCCAGTTTCGGAGTTAGCGACAGTTATCGACAGGTATCGACAGGTATCGACTTATCGTGACGCCTTGTCTGCCTTGTGCGAGCCCGAGCACCGAAAACCGCGAAATCCTGAGCCCTACATCTTAAAAAACCCTATGATACTCCAAACAACCTTCTACAACCCTATGAGATCCTATGAATTCCTCTAAAACCCATGAATCACCATAAGTTGACCATAAGTCACCTTGTAAACCTTTAGAAATCCTTTTGCATCCGCTTTGCCTTCAGGTCTCGGTCCGGCCGAAGAACCCCGGATGTCAGACCGGCGAGTTGCCTCAGGTCGTTTAGGTTCCGGCTTAGGGTTTAGGGTTTAGGGTTTAGCAGTAGTGGGACTTCATCGGATGAAGTTTTGTGGCGTACGAGCTTCCGGCAAGCACAAGCTGAGCGGTCAAGCTCGGCCACGAAGAGGGCAGGTTCACTTCATGCCGGTTAGTTTCATACCCTCTAGTATAATCTACACCATAGTGCTATCAGCTATCCAAAGCCCTGGGGAAATGTGTGCAGCCGTTTGCCGTCGTGTAGTGCCCCGGGCCTTGCCGGATGTTCTAGGCTCAACGGGTGCGTTGCGACATAGTGTGGAAGGCTGTCAGATAGATAGATAGATAGAGATGTCTCTGTGTGTGTGTGCGTGTTGGGTAAATACCGTTTTTTACCGACAATTTCATAGAGAAACAAACAAATGAACGAACAAACAAATCGACATAAATATGTATGTACATACATATGTACACCAGTATCTACAAAAACATCCCGGCAAGACAAACGAGGATCTCTAAAACAGATGCCATGCACCGTAACAACTTGAAGTCACCAATGTCCTTCGAAAAGATCCTCAGCCCCGAGAGTACGTGCGAGAAGAGGGGCTCCGGATGCCCAACTTGGAGAGCGAGCACTTTTTTCTAGCAACTTTAGGGGTTTAGGGTTTAGGCGGTAACTCTAGACTCTGTACAAATTTAAAATTCGAGTGGCTCTCTCCGACCATGCCGGTGCGCTTCCGTGCGGAGCCCTTGGTGGCTGGCGTCGCCCGATTCGTGGCCGAGGCTGCCGAAGACAAAGGCACCATGGCTGACCTACCAGCACGTATCAAAGCGGAAGCCTCCTCTGAAACAAGCACTGTATAGCAAAGGTGTGTTTACTCGGCGTGATATCGTTTTGCTGGTGAGTTGATGTCAGGCCTAGGTTCCTAGGTTCGGGCTCCTGCGAAGTCATGGAAAGCTCGGGTGAGGCTGTGCTTTTCCAGGGAAAGACTTAAGAAGGGCCCTGAAACACACCTTGGCGTGCACTTGGATGTTCCTTCAACCTTTTGTTGCCGAGGTACATCCCAGCCTGCGTCGCTGGGCAGGAAAAGCTCATAGCTAGGCGGAGAATGTCTAGGAAATCTGCAACTCAAAAAGCGCCTCCATACATAAAGTCATACGGTGGACGCTCTATTCCAGCGTAAAGTCAATGGTTAAACTGCACCGCCCAGCTCAGCTCCAGTCAGACACTAAACCTGCAAACCACAGGAGGTAATAACCAAATCCCCTTATCCTAAGCTGTATCCTAAACCCTAAAGCCCATAAAACCCGAAACCGGAACCAACCTCGCCTGCGTCGTCCGAGTTGCGCAAATAGTATCCAACCCTGCACCCAAAACCCCTTAACATGTTCGTTGGTTGGATGCTGCGGATCACGAGCACTTGCACGCAGACCGCTTCAGCATGAAGAGATGGAAACACGGTTTTTGCGCTGCACATCGTCAGGGTTTAGTTTTTGTTACACGGTTTTTGGCCCAGGTCCTGCTGCTTAAGACTCAGACAATTCCAAACAGGACGGGAAACTACACCACGAAATATAGTCGAGGCTGATCTGGTCCTTCGGGATCCCAGCGCTGCTGGGCAGCGTGGCCTGCTGGAGGCCGGGGCAAAGAGTGTTTGGCGACCTGGTGCCAACTGTCAACTGACGGTTGCCGAAGTCTGAGCCGTCGCAAGATCCGTTGCCTCTAAGGCCCGAGCAATGTCGAGATAAGCCCGGTTCACCTTACGAGCCGTCTCCTGTCTCTTTGCAAGCGGCTGCAGGACGGCCGCAGCAGCCACTGCCCTGCTTCTGGTCTTGCGCGCGACGCGAGCGCGACAAGTCGTGGAGGAGGCGATGCTGTTGGTTGAGGGCCGGCACACCGAAGCTTATTTTGCTCCTCTTTGATCCGTGAAGTTTGCGCCCGAGGTGGCTGTGGGCATCGAAGGCCTGGGATTGCAGCTGAGCACGCGACGTTCAGGCTGGGTGCCAGGTCAGTGAGCCCTATCTACCTTGACTGTGAGAGCTCTCCATGTCTGCTGCATGGAAGAAGAAGTATCTCAGGTGGTTCCATCGCATCGGACTTCATCAGTGCATCGTCCATACAGGACCCTTTTCATTGCTGTGCCTGTGGAGTGTAGAGAAGCCAATGTTCCTGAAGATAAGGCTGCTGTTGATGGTGAGTTCATGAATAGGTGATGCAGCTGACGCACATGCTCAATAAGAGTGCACGGAAGCCCACGGCCTATGATAATTAATGCCGATGGCTTTCGACATCGCATGCAGCCGGTTCATGAAATGCGGCTGCAACAGGACATTATCATTGCAGAGGCAGTGACATTCTGGGATGTGCCTCTCGGTGCTTCAGACTGCGGGGTGCACCGCAGGAGTGAGCAGTGCTAGCCAACAGCCTGAATCCCGTACACTTATCCGCGGATAGCCCAGTTTTTTTCGACTAGCGAAGCTTAGATTCTACTACCTCGTGGTGGAGATCAAGGGCAGCGAAAGGACAAAGGTTCCTTTCCAACACCTCCGACCCTTGGGCCGCACCTTCTAAACTCTTGGGTGCATGTACAGGCCTTTGCCACGCAGTGTTACTGCACGTTTCAGCTGCGAGTTTGCAGTGTCAGCATCATGACTCAGTAGTCTCGTCTTTTGCCTGTAAGGTCTTATCTTTCAGATGCATGTCGTAGAAACTCTACATCTCCAAGTACCAGCACACTTGTCGGCCCCCGGGAAGCCGGTAAATGGGGTTTCCTAGAGTTGAGGCTCTCTTCCCGGGGTCCCTCCGGGCGCAATCGTAACAGGGCCTTGCGCCTTGGGCAGTTCACAAAAACAGTGTGACCAGCACTTATCAGTAATTAGGTGTATGGCTCCTGAGCTGTTCCTCTACAGTTATCAGTATTTAGGTGTATGGCTCCTGAGCTGTTGCTCTACTCAGTGGAGTTAGGAGCAAAGGCGTTGGACGTTTCGAGCTGTAGCAAAGATGGGGTACAGAGGAAGCAGCAGGTGGTTCTGTTCTGTTCTGTTCTGTTCTGTTCAAAGATGCCAAGGACCCGGAATCGAGGACCAAGTGCAGGTTACTTGGCGGCCAAGTGATGAAGTGGAGTTCGACAACTTTGGGGTCAGACGTCGGCTTAAGGTTGCAGCTGCGCGCCAGATCAGGGTTCGGGTATGCAGTATGAACAGCAGGGATCTCTTCTGAGGGTATTCAGTGCTACACGAAGAAGCAGAAGGCGGTGCTTGGTTGCAGCAGGTCTTGCGCACCTTGCGGCGACTTCTGCTGAGAGACCCGGATCTCGCCGACGCGTAGGAGCCGGAGCAGAAGGTAGAGTTGCACTGTCCCCATTATTTGGCCGTGGCATCGAAAACAGACTTGGCAGGAAGTCATCAGTAATGGGTATCCTGCAGCCTCAGTCCTCAGTGGCCGACACATTGCAACCAACACCTTCCACCTTGCAGAAAAAGACCGTCCATGGTGGGCCAAAAATGCTTGTCCGTCAACTGCCAGCCAGCGAATACAACTTTTAGAAGAAAGCAGCTTGAAGTACTTCCGGTGAGAGGGTGGCGGAGGAGTTACTAAACCTTCCGCGGGATTCTGCGACAACTCCACGCCCGACTATAGACTATAGTCGTGAAGCTGGCCACATCGTCTCTTCTAAGTTCGGTCTTGCTATAGAGCCTAGCCCAGCTAATGCTCGTGATATCTCGTGATGCCGCACGCGTCTTCTCGCTTGAGTGCTGCCTTGGAGCCTGGCCCAGCTGATGCTGACCACCTCGTCCAGAGTAGTTGCTTTCTTTGCAGAGCTTCGCCCAGCTGATGCTCATGATGCTAGGCAGGTCTTCTCGCTTAAGTTCTGCCTTTCTCGCTTAAATTCTGCTTTCTCAGAGGCTGCCCAGCTGATGCTCATGATGCTAGGCAGGTCTTCTCGCTTAAGTTCTGCCTGCTCAGAGCCTGCCCAGCTGATGCTCATGATGCTAGGCAGGTCTTCTCGCTTAAGTTCTGCCTTCTCAGAGCGTGCCCAGCTGATGCTCATGATGCTAGGCAGGTCTTCTCGCTTAAGTTCTGCCTTCTCAAAGCCTGCCCAGCTGATGCTGATGATGCTGGGCATGTCTTCTCGCTTAAATTCTGCCTTCTCAGAGCCTGCCCAGCCGATGCTCATGATGCTGGGCAGGTCTTCTCGCTTACTGCCCAGCATCCTTTTCAGAGCTGGGCAGGTCTTCTCGATTTCGATTGAATTTTGCCTTCGTAGAGCCTGCCTACAGCAGCTGATGCTCGTGATGCTGGTCAGGTGTTCTTGATTTCGATTGCATTCTGCCTTATCAGGGCCTGCCGAGCTGGCGCTCGTGATGCTGGGCAGAACTCGTTAGAATGCTTCGGGGGCGTGGCCCAGCTGATGTTTTTGATGCTGCTCTTGGGCAGCATCTTATCTGAGTGCTGCCTTGGCCGTGGGCTTTGGGTGTTTGGTTGGTGTGTGGCATTTGCAGCTTGTTGAGTTAGTGTTGGCACAGGCAGTCAAGCGTGTAGGTGTGCCACATGCTGAAGCACTACGTTGAGGCAGAGCCGATTCTTTCTTTTCCCAAGAAACTTGTATCTGAAATCTGGAGATTCCTCGTCTGAAGTGGTCAAAATCCACCTGTCACGGCCAGGAATGGCTTGAGCCTGGCCCCCCGAATGCACTGCTGCCATGTGATTTTGTGGGTTGAGGTTGGCACGGCGGCTTGAAATTCCGAACATTCGCCGTCAGGGTGAGCGCCTGGTTTCAGGATTGGTTCCCAGCGTTTCAGCCGTCTCAGCACAGGAGCGAGACAAAGCCTCCCGAACTCTCTCGAAGACTTCATCGTCTCATGTCGGTGCATTCGACTCAAGCGCCACGGCACCGCGCTTCGCAGTCGGTCGGCCGGATGGGATTTCAGGCATGAACACCTGAGCAGCAGTTCGTAATTAGCAATCGTCTCCGCTTCTCACCCCCTAGCTTAGCAATTGAAGCCCGCGCTTCGTTTTTGACCTGAAGCTCAAGATGGCAGATTCGTAGGTTTCTGCAGATCAGGCTCGAGGCAAATCTTCTCAGCTCGGAGTGAATCTTGCGTGTCACCCGTCGACCATACCTTCATGGCCCGGTGCATCCATGAATATGTCTTGTAGCTAGGAGCGAGTGGAGACCGTTACGCGGGATCTAGGCCCTGTAGCCAGGTGCCATATGGCCGCTGGTGGACCACGCAGGCTGTGGCATGTTTCGGATGCGTTAAAAGATCGGTTGGGCCATGGCAGAGTCACTGCCCCCCGGCTGTCTTATTGCGATATTTCGCAGAAGCACGGCAGTGCAGCTCCTACGGTATCTGACCTCCAGCCGTCCTCATGTAGATCCCCAGCATTTTCCACAAAAGCAATTGCCCATAAGCTCCAGTATCTGGAACGGCCTTGCAGGTCTTTCTTTGTACCTATGTTCTACATACATGGTGGAATCTGTCTGGGCAGGTTCAACGTCGGTGAGCAAGAATTTGCTCGAGCTGTGTGGAAGCTCAGTTCAGCGCAAGTGTTCAGGGTTTGAGCTTTCAAACCAGGGCTTTGTATACTGTAAGGATTATGACGATTCGAGGTTTCCTGAGCTGCGGAACATGTAACTTGTGAGGTTCCAGAATGCTGGCTTTGAAGGGTTAAAGATGAGTCGGCAAAAAACTCAAGTCATGCTCAATGTGTTCACTGGTGTTGCTGCGATGATGGCGCCAACAGCAACGGGTGCATAATTCTATCAGCAACCTATCCAAGCGAGACCGTAGTACAGTGCACGGCCGAATGAAGAGTCCAGCTGACCTTGCAAATGGATTAAGTCCCTGACCATGACTGCAAATGAGATTGGCGCTCTTTTCTAGCCAGAGCGAATCTAGGCTAGGCAAATACTCGCAGCTTGGCCAAGGTGCGGAGCCCAGCTCAAACCTAAACCCCAAGTATGGACCTCCAAGCTCAGATTTCGCCGTACGAAGTCGAGTTCACCATCATGCACGAGGCACGTGGCAACCGTCACATTATGTCAGATCCTGAGTCGCCTATGGCGAGAGAGGACCGCGATGAGCAGCGGCTAATGTAGGAACCTGGCTAAGAAACCCTGGGTCTTAATTAGTATCCCATACAGAACCATCCTCAGCCATGCAAGAGGGAAAAAAATTAGGGTTCTTTCTATGAACCCTAATATTTTGGGGTTATAGGGCCAGGGTTTCTTAATCAGGTTCCTACACTAGCCACGGGCACCCTGCGCATTCAAGGGTTTTCGTGGTCTCATGACGTGGCACAGGGGGCCTGCGAGGCAGGAAAGCCCTTTCACCTGAGATCATCCTTGGTCCAAGTTCCTGCATACCATTTACCTGGCTCCATGTCTTCATCTTCAACCACGCAGAAGTCCTGGCACTCAAGCCTACACTCTCAATCTAGCACTAGGAACAGCTGAGGCCTGGGCTTTTTGGGGAGCAGTCGTCTCTGGGCTTTGCCTGCCACGTAACGCTCGGAGCCTTGGAGTGATGGCCATGGGATGCACGATGCTCGAACCATCGTGGTTGATTACGATCAAAAGTTGATGTCGATGTCGTCGGTGTTTCTGGTGATGGTGGCGATGGTGATGGTGATGATACTGGTGATGGCGATGGTGATGGTGATGATAGCGGTGATGGTGATGCCCTTCACGATGGTGGTTTTCAGAAAACTAGCACTGCAGATGGTTTGCTTCAATGACTTGAAGTTCCACAGCATTCGGGCAGTATGGTGCCGAATTTACGTTCTTCCCACATGATGGTAACCGGGGCTCCGGGTCGTGCATCTTCGCGGTCTGTGGTTTGCGGGAGCGCCGTGATGCGTAGTTCCGAAGTGGGGGTGAAGGGTGGATCAGGATTCAGGAGCTGTGGATGGTTTCAAGGTCGACGATCCGTAAGTAAGGTTTTCCTTTCTCTGAAATGTCGTTTCCTTCCCGCCTGAGAGGTTTCCGACAAAGTCCGAATGGGCAGCAAAGCGTTTCAGTAGAGAGTTCTTGACGGAAGCTGAGAGGCACAGGTATATTACAGTTTATCCGTATGCGTGGCACTAAGGCATCTCGTTTCCTAGTGTCGCTGCCCAGATCTATTTCAAGCTTGCATTTGTCAGGGATCCGTCGCGGCTAGCGAAAGACCACTTTGCTTGTCGGGCCCTTGGTCAGCAGATGGTTGTGAGAGGCCAGCGTTCAGCTGCTTGTTGTCTCAGATGCTAGAAGCGCTCACCTGCAAAAGAGACAGCCACCTCATCCACAACCCTGCCCGCACTAGGACAAGTCCCGATCCGGTTTGACCCGGCGCAACCCACATCTCACAAGCGAGAGACCCTGCCCCGCCTCATTCAGAGGCGTGGCTTCTGACATGATGCTCGTTGAGGTGTCGCGGAAAGACAGAGTCGGGGTATTTAGGATCTGCCGATGGCCTTACTTCTCTCAGTGCCACCCACCTACAGCACTTGCACATGCATGACTGATGTCAGCAACATTCCATCGAACTCGACCTCGTGACCCACAGTCCCGATTGCAAGTACAAAGCAAT